GGAGCTATGGATGAGCATTTTCTACTCGTGATCTGGACCAGCAAGGCAGAGGAGGACAGAAGAGAGAAAGGGAGGAAGGGAAGGGAAGGGAAGGGAAGGGAAGGGAAGGGAAGGGAAGAGAAATAGTGATTTAGGGATGGAGAGAGTCCAGATGGTAGTTTTAGACTAGTTTAAGTTGATTTCTCTTACATCCAACCAAAGGAATTCAACTAATATACCTTATCATAGATTCATTGTGACGAATGTAATTTATGTAAAAAACACTTTGCAAATGATGCAGCACCATAGAGAGGCTAGTGGGAAGTTATTATCAAGGCAAACTCCTCTCCCCCCTCAATGCTCTAGCTGGTGACCTTGACTCCGCTTTGGGATACCCTGACTTCCCGCTGTCTCTTCTCCCAAGCCATCCTTCATTTCCCCATTTCTGAGAAACTCCCAGCACCACTGCTCTCCCTCCTGGAGCCCACTGCCTTTTCCTGTCTCTTGTAAACAAAAACACAGTTGAATAATCTCTAAAATGCCATCCAGCCTTGCTGTTTTGTGATTCTGAATCTCCTTCATGATCCTTGAAACTCTGCTGATCAGTCAGACTGTAGATTAGGGGTAAATGCATCAGAATGTCCTGGGGGCTTCTGAATGCAGCCCCCAGGATTACTCCATTCTTCAGGCTGAATTCCGGTCTCTGGGGGAGGGCTGAGACTCTGCATTTTTTTTTTTAAGATTTTATTTATTCATTTGAGACAGAGAGATACAGAGAGACAGAGAGCATGAGCAGGGGGAGAGGCAGAGGGAAAGGGAGAAGCTGGCTCCCCGCCAAGCCAGGAGCCAGACGTGGGGCTCAATCCCAGGACCCTGGGATCATGACCTGAGCCAAAGGCAGACGCTTAACCATCTGAGCCACCCAGGAGCCCCGAGACTATGCATTTTAAGCATACCCCATCAAGAAGCCCTGGCATGGAGTTCAAGAGCTTTCAATCAGGTGTGTCTACACTGAGTACCAACCTTGCGGCTCATTAGTTGTGAGACCTTAGAAATTTGCTTACCCTTTGTGTTTATGCTTCCACTGCATTAAAAAAAAAAAAAAAGGAAGGGGATGGTAACAGTAGCAAATTCATAGAATTACTTTGAGGATTAAATGAGATGATATGTATAAAGAATCTAGTGCAGCATCCGTGTTCAGAAAAATGACAGTAAATATTAGCTATTGTTAGTAATATAGCAAATAGAAGACCCTGTACAAATTCTAAAGCAAATTACCTGAGTTGATTTAATATTTAAACATAAATTGTAAACTTCCTTATCCAGCCCTTTTTTACGATAGGAGATGGCCAGCTGTATTGTTGAATGCTACATGCAATTGTGTATTTATTTGTGTGCTTATTTGATTAATGGCTGTTCCACAAAGGAAGGGATTATTTTGTGTATATATACTCATATGTTTTACTTAAAGTAGGTTTATACTGGGGCAGCTGGGCAGCTCAGTCGGTTAAGTGTCTGAGTTTTGTTTTGTTTTTTTTTTTAAGATTTATTTATCTATTTGAGAGAGAGAGCGGGAAAGGGGGAGATGGAGAGAAAGAATCCTCAAGCAGGCTCCCCTCTGAGCACAGAGCCCAACACTGGGCTCCATCCCAGCACCCTGAGATCATGACCTGAGCTGAAATCAAGAGTCTGATGCTCACCTGACTGAGCCACCCAGGCACCCCCAGTGTCCAACTCTCAATCTCAGCTCAGGTCTTGATCTCAAGGTCTTGATCTCAGGGTCATGAGTTCACACCTTGCGTTGGGCTCCATGCTGGACATGGAGCCTACTTTAAAAAGTCGGTTTGTAAAGATATAATTTATATATATCAAGATTTCACTCTTTTCAGGTAGACAGTTCTAGCAGTTGTGTAACTACAACCAACGTCAAAATGTAAACTATTTCTATCACCACAGAATTTTCCTTGTACTACTTTGTAGTGGATCCTTTAATCTCTCCCACTCCACCCCCAGCACTGGCAACTGGTCTGATTTCTGTTACTACAATTTGTGTTTTCCATAGGTCATTTGAAAGAGTATCATACTGAGTCGCTACTCAGGCTTTTTTGCTTAGAATAATGTACTTGAGATTCATCCAAATTGTTGTATTTATCAGTAGTTTGGTTTGTTTATTGGGAGTAGTATTCCACAGTATGAATATATCACAACTCGTTTAACCATTCATCAGTTCATGGTTATTTGGGTTGTTTCCAGGTTTGGCTCGTCATGAATAAAGTTGCTATAGACATTTGCATGCAGGTCTTTTTGTGGACATATGTTTTCATTTCTCTTGGGTAAATACCCAGGAGTGGAATTGTTGGGCTGTTTGGTAAGTATATATTTGAGTTTATAAGAAACTGTCCAACCATTTTCCAAAGTGACCATACCATTTTGCACTCCCAACATGATACATGAGAGTTCCATTTGCTCGGTAACCTCCCCAGCACTTGGGAGCTTTTGCCGTATTTTTACATTTTAGCCATTCTAGTAGGTGTTTGGTGGTGTTAATGCACATTTCCCTAATAAGTAATGAAGGTGAGAGTCTTTTCATGTGTTTACGAAACACATAACTTAGAGTTATTTGTATTTCTATTATTATGTTTTGAAAAGATATCTATCTACATTCTTGATACAAGCCCTTTATCAGATATGTATTTTGTAAATATTTCTTCCCAATCCATGGCTAGTCTTCTTACTTTTCTTAACAAGAGCTTTGGAAGAGCCGAAGTTTTTCATTGTGAAGTTCAGTTTATGAATGTTTTTTATGTGGTTTGTGCTTTCGATGTTATGTCTAAGAAATCTTTGCCTAACCTACAGTCACAAAGATTTTCTCCTATGTATTTATCTAGAAATATTGTGGTTATTACATTGAATCTATGATCTATTTTTACTTAATTTGTACACATGGCATGAAGTATGGCTCACGGGTCATTATTTTGTCCCAGCAACGTTTGCTGAAAATATTATTCCATCTCCATTTAATTACCTTGCCATTTTTGTGAAAAATCAATTGAGCATATATGTGAGTGTCTATTTCTGATTCTTTACTCTATTCCATTGATTTGTATGTTTCACCTGAACCACACTGTGGTGATTACGGTAGCTTTTCAGTAAGTCTTGAAATCAGGTAGTTTGAGTCCTCCAGTTTTGTTCTTTTTCAAAGTTGCTTTGGCTATCCTCAGTCCTGTGCTTTTTCTTTTTCCAAAGGATTTTGATTGGGATTCTGTTTAATATGTAGACCAGTTTGGGGAGAATTGATATCTTAATAATGCCTTCTGGTCCATTAATATATCATACCTTTCCATTTAGTTAGGTCTCCTTTGAACTCCTAATGTTTTATAGTTTTCAATATTTTTTATTAGATCTATCCCTAAATAGCTCATGAATTTTAATGCTATTGTCAATGACGGCTTTTAAATTTCAATTGCCAATTTTTCACTGCTAGTATATATAAACACAATTGAGGATTGTAAATGCCTTTGTATCCTGTGACCTTGCTAAGCTCATATAATAGTTCTAGTAGCTTTTTTACAAAATCTCTGGGGTTAGGGCGCCTGAGTGGCTCAGTCAGTTAAGCATCTGCCTTCGGCCCAGGTCATGATCTCAGGGTCCTGGGATTGAGCCCCACGTCTTCAGGCTCCCTGCTCAGCTGAGAGTCTGCCCCTCCTCCCGCTGGTGCTCTTTCTCTCTCCTTGTGCTCACTCTCCCTCTCTCTCTCAAATAAATAAAATCTTTAAAAAAAAAAATCTCTGAGGTTTTCTATCTGAAGTATCTCATCATCTGCGAATAAAAAAAAAACCCTTTTTCTTTCCAGTGTGCCTACCTTTTATCTCCTTTACTTGCCTGACTGCATTGGCTGGAGCCTTCAGTACAGCTTCAAATAGGAGCAGTGAGAGAAGACACCTTACATTGTTTTCGGTCTTAGGAAGATTATGTTTGTTTTGTTCAATACTGCATACCCATATACTTTGCACCATGCCTGGCATACAGTAGGTGCTCAAAAGAGGTTGCTGAATGAATTAAAACAAAGTTAGCTGATCTACATAGAGATTCAAATAACATTGGTTTCATTAATACCTTGTTCAACCACTGAATCTATGGAGTCACAAGTAAAATTATGTAATGTGTTGCAGGATATCATTTTGAAATCAGGAACCTTTTCAAATATAAAAATGCTCTGGTGGGAATATAGGAATTTAGGGATAAGCTATCCACTTGATGTGAAGGTGACACTGTGCTACATATTTGTCTGATGAATTAATACCTTAATTAACCAAATTAATAGACTCAATTAAAATGCAGTAACAATAGAGCTATTGTTTGTCTGCCTCTTCTCTGGGATAGTAAAGTCTGAGAAGTGACAAAACCTGATTTCTACATATTATCAAAATGCTAAGGATGTCCAGTCAGTACTAACCGTATAATGATAGTTATCAATACACAATGCCATCAGGTTACATAACTGACCTGGCAAGAGGCTCTCCAAATGTTTCATTCTCTAGCAATTATAGAAAAAAAAAATTTTTTTAGAAAAATAAAACATAAAAAGGCTTTATATATGGATAAGGCATATAGCTGTGCTCTGATTAAAGCTGTCTAAAATCCTTTCCTCAGAATAAAAGAGGAAACAAAGAAAACCATGCATGACATGTATATGTCTGCTCCCCATAATTGTTTTCTTCTGATTTATTTTTATGTTTTCAACATTTAAAACATGAATGTTTCCAAAGCCAAAATTAGATTACAAAATACATTCAGAGAATTCCTTCTTCCATCCCTATTTGACCCTGTGCTCGTTCCTTCCCCATAGATAAGCATTTGAATAACTTTTGGACTATACTCCCAGTATGACTTGCTCACAAATATAAGCAAATACACATATGCATGCACAACCATATTTATATTTCTCTCCCATTTTACCCACCTCCTCCCAAAAATAGCATGCCATTTCACAGTTTGGCACCTTGCTTTTTTTCACTTACCAAAATGTTCTGCAGATCACTCGATATCAGCATGTTAGAAATTCTCCCCATTCCTTTTTGTGGTTCAACATTTTGGAAGCATCTGTGTGGTCCCTTCAAAAATATTAAAGAAGTCATTAAAAGTGAGAACTGTAACTCCTAGCAGAATATAACTAGCTATTTCTAGTTTATCTAAAGCAAATACTCCATTTCTGGACCATTTACGCATGTCACTCACCTCCTACCTCCTATCGTTGGGATGTGTTGAGAGTACAAAAACTGGCTTTGATCATTGGCCTGGGTAAATTGTAACGAGGCTTTGGGCTGGAATGACACAGACACTGCAAAAGTAAAATGTGCAGCTTCGGGGGAAGGAGACAACTTTTCTTCCTGCTCTCCAGAAGCTTGGATCTGGGCAGAAATCATGACTTCATCAAATAGAACAATATTCATATGAACAAAATTAAATAGCCTAGAAATCAGAGGCTTCCCCACACCGCATCCCCAATGGGCCGTGGAGTAAAATTGTACGAGGCTCGGATGTAGAACGATAAGGGTTGAACTTATATCTAGTCTATTTTTTGGGGGGTTCCTATTCATTTCAAAACTAGACACCAATATCCAGGACTAAATCTTTTCCACTAGAACTATCTGTTAAATAAACTGGTTACAAATACATGATAGAGGATAATTATGTGTGTAGATAACTCTATAGTCTTACACAAATCTTTATGACACCTTCCTCCAGATCCTGTCCATGGCTACAATTCAATCTGCTGCCAATGGGCACCTCAAATTAAGTAAATCTGAGTTACAGAGTTATAGAACTGGATGATTTTAAACATGACCTTTTATTCTGTCCTATGCAACAGATATAGGGGTAACTTGTACATAGTCATTTGAGATCAATTCCAGAAAAAAAGTAAGACATACATGTAGCTTTTAGTTTCTCTTTTTAAATTATCTTCCTCAAAAATTAGAGTTAATAATTTTAAACATCAACACAATGGTATACGGCTGGTCATTTTTGAAATTATTTCTGTGAAGAGTAACTTTTTCCATGCTTTGATATTAATGCCCACTTGAAATTCTGATGACATTTTGTAAATATTTTTTAAAACTTTTTCTTTTTATAAGCTGCTATATGCACATTGTGTTAAATATAGAAAAGTATAAAAGGAAATTAATCATACTGTGAAGCTGTATCTAAACACTGTTAATAGTTGAGCACATTTTCTTCCAGCATTTTTTCTATATGTATGTATTTTTTCCTTACACTTTTGAGCGTAGAGTCTGTAAATCTTGCAATGTCCTTTGATCAAAAACTCTATAAATTGAAGATAAAGCTGTACCCTCTGAAAGATAACACTCTGAATCCAATGTGAATGACTTTGTGATCTCTTCTTGGGTTCTGTGTAATTTAGAAAACTCCCCATTCATTATCATCACTTGTTTTTCTGGAGTTATCTTTTCAAACAACTACTAAGTTAAAAAGAGGAAGCAAAAGAGAGGCCAAAAACTCCCTTTGAAATCAGTTCTCTGATTTTGAGTCTTCGACAGAAAAAAATTATCAAATGTCCCATTAACTTTGCCACTGTGTGATTGAAATTCAGAGGGCTCTCAAATCTAAAAAGTGCTCTTTGCCCTAATCAAAGATGACACTATTCAATCACTCATTTAAAAAATACACTTTTAGAATACTCAAACAAGGATGGCGGCCTTTCATTGATTCACTGGAACTTTCTCACTATTTCTCCTTAAGAGGGAAGGCGTGTGTCTGCATTGACCAGCAGCAGCACCAGCAGCAATGTGGCGGGTCCTTGTCCAGAGACCAGCCAAAGCAAACCGGACTTGATGAGTATTGATCGAGGACCTCATCAACCCCACATTCCAGACAAAGGTCAGTGTAATTAGATTGCTTTGAGTAAAACGAGCCCATGGAAACCTAGAGTAACAGAATGGATAAACCCTAAGGTGATATTTGCTTTAGAAAAGAACTCCTTCCCAGAGAATTCCTTTAAATAACAAGCTCTCTTCGTATATATTAAATAAGATTTGACTATATTAAAACACACCTTTCAGAAACTTGCTATGGAGGAGAGTCCTATACACAAGTACTTCCTGTTTTGCTGCAAAGTCCTTTAAATAATATTACTTGACACCATATAACACAATAAATAATTACCAGATTTTCATGTTAATTATAGGGGATGTCATTTGGGGTTACATCAGAGCTACAGGGTGAATTATCTTCTTCTTTCTCAAGGCCTTGTATGGACTGTGTGGAATTTTAAAAGGTCTCTTTTAAAGGGCATAAAATATGGAAAACATTTAATCTTTTCAAATAAATTGTGAAATGCCTGAGACCAGAATGTTGAGGTCTCTGGCTCGCTATGAACACCAGCTTTACAAAGCTAAATGTGAGGTAATAGGTTCATTCCTAGATGCAAAATTACTTTATTGCTTTTAATAATACATTACTTTAATTCATTATGCTAATTACACTTTAAAAGAATCATGTGCAAGGCGGAGGAGTGCAAAATCATATGAGCAGGATGGCTCTCCTTCAAAAATTAGAAATTTCAAGAGGGCAACAGTGTCGCGGATAAACCAAACACAGGTCCTTCCAAACGCTGGGTTTTGCGCCGGCTACGCGGGTCGCACACCCACGAAGCCCCCTGCACGGGAGGCTCCCCCCCACCCCCACCCCCACTCAACTATTTTCTAAGAGCAGCTTTTGGTTCAGGACAACATTCAGCAGAAGGGACAGAGATTTCCCACAAACGCCCTGCCTGCATGAGGCACTCTTCCCTCACAGGGCCTCAACCCTGCTGTCCCAGGGCGCTGGTGGAGATGGATGCTGGCTTTGCTGTCAAGCCAGTCTTAAGTTTTAGGTAAAACACTCAGCACAGCTATTCTTTACCCTGACATCACTGGGGCACGGTATAATAAAAAACCAGTGTTTTCTTTCTTCTTTCCCCTTGTTTATCTAGAAGAGACAGACTTTTCGAGTTTGTTGTTTTACAACAGCGGTGCATTGAGGAGACTCTGGGCTCCCTGTTAGCAAGCTGTGCTGGAGGCAGGTCCGAGCGCTCCAAAGGACGGCGGGCCCGGCCTGGGCGCGTGCAGGGAGCGGTCCCCGCGGCCCTCGGCGCCTTTTCCCCTGGGACACCCCGAGAGTGATGCCCCCTTCGCTGCGACCTTTGCTCGGTCTCTGCGCCCGCCCAGAGCGGCACTCCGTCTCTCCCGGCCCCTAGCTCCCCGGCGGGCCCGAAGCAGGCCCCCAGCCCCAGCCCGGGAGCTGCCTCCTCCGCCCGTCTCCGCCCGCCGGAGGCGGCCCCCGGGGGACGGGGTTCGCGCGGCGCTCTCCCAGGGACAGCCGGGGGCTCCCGCTCCTTCGCAGCCCCGCGCGCCTCGATCCCTCCCCGCGCGTCCGCGCTCACGTCCCCCGGCTGCCAGGCTCGCACACGCCCCGGTCACTCCCGGGACTCCGAAGGGACCGCAGTTCCGGGCCCCGCGGGGCGGGCGGCAGGGTTCGGTCGCCGAACCCGGGCGTCCCCGGGGCCTCCAGCGGCTCTGTGCCCCCGCCCCTCAGCCCCCGCCGCGCCCCAGCCCCGCCGCTCCGCCGGCTCGCGCCGCCGCCCCTGGCCGGCCGGGGCACCGCAGCGAGGCCCACCCCGCGCGCCCCCGGGCGCGGCGGCGGCGGCGGCGGCGGCGGCCCCGCGGCCTGTGCGTGCGCAGCGCCCCCCGCGGCCGCGCCGAGCGCAGGCGGCGGCGGAGGGAAGGAGGGCGCCGCCCGCCCGCCCGCCCGGCGCGCCCGGCCCCTCCCCAGCCCGCCGCCCGCCCGCCCGCCCCCGGGGCCGCCGGCGGTGTCCGCGCCTCCGCGCCCGCCCCTGATTTCCTCCGCACGGCGGCGGCGGCGGCGGCGGCGGCGCCTCGTGCGCGCGGTTATTTATTTATTTCCGGGCCCCGGAGCGCTTATAATGGAGCCGCTGTCAGCAGAACCTACTGCTGCCGCCGCCGCCGCCGCTGTCCCTCCTCTTTTTTTTCCCGGCAGATCTTTGTTGTGTGGGAGGGCAGCAGGGATGGACTTGAGCTTGCGGATCTGCTGCTAGAGCCGCCGCGCTTGGAGAGGGCGTCGCGGCCGCGAGAAGGAGCCGCCGCCGCCCCGAGGCCCCGCCGGACCCGGCTGCGGTCCGCCCGCGCCCCCGCTCGGCCCACTCGCCCCGCGCCTCCCGGCAGAGTCCCCTCGCGGCGGCAGATGTGTGTGGGGCCAGCCCACGGCGGGGACTATGGTGAAATTCCCGGCGCTCACGCACTACTGGCCCCTGATCCGGTTCCTGGTGCCCCTGGGCATCACCAACATAGCCATCGACTTCGGGGAGCAGGTAAGCCCCGGCCGCGCCCCCCGCGTCCCCCGCCCGGCCCGGGCAGTTCCGCCCTGAACCCCGCGCCCCGCGCCCCGCGCCCGGCTCTCTCTGCCTTGGCCTTCGACACCCGGGCGCCAGGGGCTGAGAGCAGCGGGGAGTCACCTGCTCCGAGTCCCTTTTTATCCTGGAACATTTGGTTGGGCTTGCAGCTTGTCAAGGATGACTTTTCCAGCGCTCCATTTCCCCCTCCCCCCAATTATTCAGCAGACTTTTCCAGCTCTCTCTGGAAAATGTTAAAAGACCAGAGGGTTTAAAGCTTCACCTATAGAAGGGTTTTTAGTGCACAGCAGGAGTATTATGTAATTTGTTATTATGTAAACCTCAGATCTGTAAGTAAAATGTAGTTGCTAATAGCTCAAGTGCTTGGTTTCTCTTTATCCGGTGTTGGTGGTGATGGTGATGGCGATGATGGGGAGATTTTGTATTAGAATGTGTCCAAGTTGATTTTCCAGGTACTTCTAATTTTCTTTTTTTTTTTTTTTTTTTTCTTTCTGCCCAGGTATGAATTACGGGTGCCCAAATGTGTCCTGATAAGCCAACCGTTGGCCATCTCTAGTTTGGGGTCTCTCTCTCTCTTTTTTTTTCTTTTGGTCCACTAAAGAAGGGGAGCACATTTTTGTTTGTTGCCTTCTCGTCTGTTTCTTTTTCACGTTTTCCCCCATTTCTTTCCATGTGGCGTCATTGCAAATCCCCAGAGCTGCAGACTCTCCAGCAGCGGGGCACTGGTACTCTGCACTTTGCCTGTAGGAACCGTTTTCGCAGTCTCCAGCGGGATGCAGCTGCATTTGAAGGCCAGGGAGGGGCTGGGGGTGGGGGGCAGTGGCCTGCCACCTTGACGGGCAGGTGTGGGAACCAGCCGCGGCGTGTGATGAGCCTCACTCCTGGTACTGTAGTACCTTACTTCTTGGCCTTTAAGTCGAGCGACTTCATAGGATTTTTGTATAGAAAATGCACCTATATAGTTGTGCACTTTTAGTTTTTAAAAACCCACTTTCAGAAGGGGGTTTGTTTGCTCTGTCTGATGAATATCTGCTTGGATTTGTCTCTCTGTACTCAGAACTTTCGATTGATGCAAGTCTGTAAGCTCACTAATGCTTAGCCCACATTGTAAGCTGCTTTTTACTTCAAATTGTCTTGCCAAGAAGTGTTCACAAGGTAGTATAGTCTCTAGAGACCTTTGGTAAGCCAACTAATTTCCTTTGGTGAACTATTATATTTTTTCTGTTGCCACTTTGACACTTTGATCACTAGGGTCCCTGAAGGGCGTCTCTGCTGCTCCGCCTCCTTCCCGCCCACCTTCCCTTCTTTCCTAATTCACTGGTGACTTGAGGTGTTTCCTATAATCCGTGGAAAGGTTCTAGGATCTGAATTTACTACACTGCCCTGCACATTTTAGATGAGTCAAGTGCTGTATGTTCACCTGCCCCTTTTACTATTTTAAGGCTTATTTTCTTCGAGCTACCCCAAAGGTTGTTAGAAAGCCCGTGACTGCTCACCTGATCCCTTACCCCTGAACTGTTGTAGTGTCTGTGCGTGTGTGTGTGCGTGTGTGTGTGTGTGTCGGAGAGAGAGAGCACGTACGCGAGAGCGAGAGAGGGAGAGAAAGAGAGAAAGAAAATTATATGGGATAACTGGTGAAGGTGAGAGTATTCTTTGTCGTAATTAAACGACCTGAAACGTACCATAGTATTGCCTCACATTTGCCTTGATATAATACCAGGCAGACATAACTAAGGATTTGATTTTAGTGTAAGTGAAAGGAACTCCTCAGGTCACAAAAGGGAGGCTAGAGATAAGAAACATTTGGTTTATCCTAGTGGGTCTAATAATGCAAACGCATCCTTGAGACATTGCTAACCTTTTAACATTGCTAATTATCATAGCTGACGTAAGCAAAGTACTAGAAGAATTGTCTCTTTGCACAGAAGTTTATCAACAAGTGTTGTTTGAGGCCCTTATCCCTTAAGTGCCGGTGTGTTTATGAGGTTATAGGCTGCCTGGTGGTAGAGATAGTTTGTCAGTTAGGGGGGAAGGAGTGGGGAAGGAATTGATAGGTTTCCAGAACCTTCTTTTGCCATCTGGTATCAGATAATTGTTTTGCAAAATAGTGCAAGGGTAGAGGGACAGAACTTACATTTCCTTAAACTGAAGGAAAAGAATTACAGTAGGAGTTGAAGAGTGACCTGGTCACATGTGGGTAAGAATAGAAGTGCATTTTCCCCCAACTGCCTTAAAACACAGCAGAGAGGAGGAAAATTAACCTATTTGCAAAAGTAGGTCTACTTTAGACTTCAGAAAATATTCTGCTCTTGACAGGGGTTTTTAATCGTGTTTTAGACAGATGGACATGTGTAGATCTCTGCCATTCTTTCAGAATGGGCAGGTGTATTACACCGTGCCTTGAGTGAACAATCCTGCATATTTCAATAATTTACTCATCTTAAAGTAGAGGGGTAACAAAGGAGGACAGAGGTCAAAGGTCAAAGCAGCCCTTGGGTCCCATGCCCTGGAGATGATCAAGAAATGCAAAATGCAAAATTAAAAAATAAAACATCTCATTAGCTTTTAAGTCTCTGACTTGTCAAGAACAAAAGATAGTAAAAGATGAGGGGTTTTTTTATGGTTATAAACGTCTCAGTTTGCTGTTTCTGTACAAAATGTGGATAGAACTTTTAAAATGGAAATCCAGCTATATACAGGATTCCATTGAAATTTGAATAAACAGCACATATGTGATTGTGTAAAAGAATTACATATTCATAAATTATCTCAGAGCTGTCAGTGCATGTGGGGAGGGGCTAGGAAGAAGCCTGCAATGATTCATCCAGAGCCTCCTGATATATGAACATTCAGTTGTATATAGATTTCCCTATGATTTTATGACTCAGTCGGGAGGAAATCCAAATATTATCTTGTTATTCTAACAAGACTAACAAAACCTATTATCACATTTTAAATTTTGGCAGTGGGAGTAATTTGGGGGGACGAGGGAGGGTTGAGTCCTACATGGGGGAGAAAAGCTATATGGCATAGAATAACCTGCTTTTTAATATTAAACAAAAGCACCATAGGGAACAATGAGAATCAATCCATTATTGCAGAAACTAAAATAATGTTTGTAGAACCCTGTAGGTGCAAGGTACACTTTACACTTTTTTTTTTATTCTTATGTTACTCCCCATACATTACATCATTAGTTTTAGATGAAGTGTTCCATGATTCATTGTTTGTGCATAACACCCAGTGCTCCATGCAGAATGTGCCCTCCTCAATACCCACCACCAGGCTAACCCATCCTCCCACCCCCCTCCCCTCTAGAACCCTCAGTTTGTTTTTCAGAGTCCATCGTCTCTCGGTGCAAGGTACACTTTATGATAATATCTAGAATTATCATTTTATCTCTATTTTTACAGATTGAAGTGAGGAAAGACTGAGAGGTTTAGGCAAGTGAAGTCACTTGTCCAAGATCACACAAGTATTATGGGGCGGAGCCAGGATTCGAGCCCACATCAGCTTGGCCCTTGGCCATTCTGCTCTCCGCCTCCCCCACTCGGGCCCACCCACTGAAATTCACCCAGGAGTTCTTAGAAATTTAGGAATAAGTTTCTGGCTTTTCTGATTCCCAGCCTGGGCTTAAACTTAATCTTGGCTGTCAAATTTTGAATTTTATGAGGTAAGACAATCATAAAAAGGGCTCTCAGGACCAGGGGATTCTGATCAAGAGATTCACAGAAGAAGAACCAAACTATACAGATAATTCATATTGATAAATCAACAGTGTATCTTATTTTGCCTTTGGTTAAAAGGGAGGAAAAAGATAAGCAGCAGATACTTCACAATAAAATTTTTAGAAATTATTTAGTCTTTATCACTAGAGCACTGCAAATTGCTAAAATAGATTTTGAACAATGTATTTCTTTAAAGTATCTGCATATGTCCATGTTGTCACCATGTTCAAAGGACTGTCATTTCTACTTAAAACTAAACTTGGTACAAAGTCCCTGAATTCCTTAAAAGCCAAGTTCACCAAATTATGTAGAATAAATCAGTGAACTTTGCTTTAGGGTACTTAATGGCGCTTAAAGTGTTAAATACTACTCCATTATGAAGGCTTCAAAGGAGTAAAGAAGGTTGAAATTGTTCTCTAAACTTAGGAAGAAATGTGTTCTGCCCAGTGTCAGGTAATTCACTCTCTCACCCCAAAATGATAACTGTGGGTATTTCCGATTGCCCTGAATGATTCACAGAATCTGGTTGGGTCCAGTACAATAATTCAAAGACCCAAAGTTTTTAATGTGTGAATGAAGAGCTTTGTATATGGATTGTGACAATTGGTAGAATAAGATGGGTAATAGGAATGTTAAGCCGTTTCTAACTTAGGGATCCTAGTGTTAGGCTTTCACAATACAAGGGTCTCAAATTACTAATATCACAAAATGGAAAAAAAGAAAGGCCCAGGAAAAATAGTTTAATAAATGTCCTTTTTGTCTACTAAGTAAAGAAATACATCCCCCCTCCCACCCCAGACCAGGAGGTACAAGAATGAAAAAGGGTGAGTGTCTGACATTGGCCACTGATAGAAGAGACTCCCCAGGCCGAGCTTGCCTTAAGTGATAATAAAACTGCCCATTGTATGTTCCACTTTGCAGAGTACCTAGAGACAGAAATGGCAACCTCAAGCCAAGTTTCCAAGCAACCGTGGGGGGAGGGGGGGAGTTCCCTTCAATTTATTCAATATTAATGGAATAGACTTCAAAATGCCATTCATTGTTTTCTAATTATAAAAATAATATATGCTGGGCGCCTGGGTGGCTCAGTTGGTTGGGCGACTGCCTTCGGCTCAGGTCATGATCCTGGAGTCCCTGGATTGAGTCCCGCATCGGGCTCCCTGCTCGGCGGGGAGCCTGCTTCTGCCTCTGACCCTCCCCCCTCTCATGTGCTCTCTCTCTCTCATTCTC